TACACTTGCTATGTGCCAGGCTGCACTGTGCAAAGTGCTTTACAATTATTATCTTATTTGATCCTCACAATAACCTTGGGGAATAGATGCTATTATTATCCCAATTTTACATACAGGGAAACTAAGGCAGACTTGCTTCAGGGTCATACAGCTATGAAGTTTCTCCAGCGGGATTTGAATTTAGGTCTTCCAGACTCCAGGCCAACTACTCTATCCACTGTGCTACCTAACTGCTCAGAATTAAGAGGGGTTGGGGCAGCTAGGTGGCACAGTGGATAGAGAGCACTGGCCCTGGATTCAGGAGGACCCGAGTTCAAATCCACCTCAGACACATAACACTTACTAGCTGTGTGACCCTGGGCAGGTCACTTAACCCCACTGCCTAAAAACAAAAAAAGAATTAAGAGGGGTGGGGGAAGGCTTCCAATAAAGATGTGGTTTTATATGGAACTTAAAGAAACCCAGGGAAGTCAGTAGGCAGACTGGAGGAAAAAGATCATTCCAGGCATGGGAAAAGTCAAAGAGAATTCAAGGAGCTGAGAAAGGGAGTGTTTGGTTTGTGGAATAGCCAGGAGGTCAGTATCATTGGATGGAAGAACACCTGGTGGAGAAGGTATAAGAAGACTAGAATAGAAAGGTAGGAGGGGCTAGGTTATAAAGGGCTCTGAATGCTAAATAGAGCATTTTATATTATTAGCTCCTAGAGGCAATAGGAAGCCAGGGGAGTTTACTAGGGGCAGGAGGTAACTGCCATGATCCCACCTGTTTTAGGAAAATCACTTGAGGGCTGCTAGGTGGCTCAATAGATAGAGCACTGGCGCCGAAGTCAGGAGGACCTGAATTCAAATCCAGCCTCAGTCCAAACAGTTGACAATAGCTGTGTGACCCTGGGTGAGTCACTTAACACCAGTCGCCTTAAAAAAAAAACTCTTGATCAGAGGTTGATTAGAGGATGGACTACAATAGTGATAGACTTGAGACAGACCCACAAGCAGGCTGCTGCAATAATCCAGACATGAGATGATGAGGCCCTGAACCAAGTGTGGTAATGTCAAATTAATTTGAAGAAGGAGAGTACAACTAATTTGGGGAATGAGGAAGAAGGGTCACAGAAAAGTTTCAAAGAGGATGTGGTACCTCACTCTTGACAGAAAAAAAGGATTCTTCTGAAAGACAGAAACAAGGGAGTACATTACAGGCAAAAAGAACAGCTTCTATGAATGCATGGAAGAAGATAGAATGCTATGTTCGTGGAAGAGCTAGTTCCATCTCATTGTAACAAAGAATGGATGAAGGAGACAAATGTGAAATAAGCCTAGAAAGATAAGTTGGAAACATGTGGAGGGTCTTCAATGCCAGAATGAAGAGTATGGCAATAAGAAATCATGGAATGTTTTTCAACAGGACAGCAGCACACAGGACACACAGCTGTGCCTCTGGAAGATCATTTTAGCTGCTGCCTAGGGGCCAAATTGAAGAGGGCAAAAAAACTGGGAAGAAAGCCAGTAAGAAGCTATGACAATAGTCCAAAAGAAAGGTGACAAGGGTGGTGGACTTGTTGAATGGAGTGAACAGGGATCATACATCCTAGAACTGGATCTAATCCAACCTCCTCCTTTTACAGTTGAGGAAGCTGAGACCTAGTATATTTAGTAGTAGTAGTAATAATAATATTTATAGTGATTTAAGGTATAAGAAAAAAAGCTCTCTTCACATATCACCTCATTTGATCTTCACAATGACTCTGAAATAGGTGCTTTTATCTTCATTTTACAGAGGAGGCCAGGGTCACAAAACTATTAAATCTCTGAGGTAGGCTTCAAACATTTGAAGTTTTCCTGACTCCAAGTCCAGCATTCTATCCACTAAAAATCATACATGTAGTAAACGTTAAAGATGGAATACAAAAATGCTGAAGAGGTAGGATCAGGAGTGGCAAATAGATATATATAAAGGGTAAAAGTAAAGAAGAATGACTCAAGTTACTAACATAAGAAACCAGGAGAATCAGGTCATCAAGTCGCAGATGTATCCTTGACGGTTTCCAATTGATGACATTCCACTTTAAATACAACCTTAAGAATTATATATGACTTATAGACTATACAACTAGACCACAAAAAAAGTTTACAAATCAACTGACTTCTAAATACTAGATGCTAAATTTCTAATTTCAAATAACATCCTAAAATTAAAATGATTTTGGAATTTCATACACCTGATGCTGAAGAACATAGGTCAACCATTTTCTAACTGCTGTTTGTTTTTTTAAATCAAATCACAAGATTTGATCTGTGGTATCTGAATTTATATACTAACCAGTTCTCATGCCAGGATTCTACATTTTAACTAAATCTACATCTACCTAGGACATGAATCCAATTTATTTCCAACGTATTGTTTGAAAGGTATGATTTACGTTCTTTTCATAAACAGCTGCGCTACAGTAAGTACAGAAAAACTTAAGAAAGCAAAATTCACAAAATTAAACTTTTCCACACAAGCAGCAATTCCATTTTCCAGATTAGAAAGGCCAACTGAGACAATATGCCTCTGACTCACCAGCTTTTTTCCCCCTTTACAGCATACACTTAAGACACACTGGCTGTACGTGGTACATGCAAAACCAATATTTATCTTGGCAGAAGGAAAACCCAATATAAACGTAATGTTTTGATCTTAACTGGAAGACATATAAAGGCCAGAGATGACATGCAAAATTTCTGATTTTATAAACTGTCTTTTACTCCAAATACTTACTGTATGTCTTTTCTAAAAAGTACTCCCATTTAAATCATTATTCGATAATGATTTCTCACAGTCTATATACTGCAGTTCTCTGTAACTTCAGAAATTCATGTTTCAAGAACTTCCACACTCCCACTCCACTGCTAAAAGCTCAAGTTTGCAACACATACAGCGGTTTACATATTAAACAGAAGCAAATGACTCCAACACAAAACTGCTTCCCACATTTCTAACAGCAGTTTTTATATTATCCAGAACAACTCTAAACTGCTTGAGCAAGTACTAAAACCAAGGTTCATTTGCTATTATGAGCCAGTCAGCAAAGCAATTCTATGACACAACAGACTGCACCCATTAATCCTAGCCAGGCATTTTGCAAACTTGTGACCTTGAGCTCTAAAAAGACTGATGGAAAAAGTATAGATGGGTTTTCTTCAAACAATTAAGACTAGTGGGAAAAAAGTCAAATAGATAAGTAGTAGAGTCTTCAGGCATAAGGGACAACCAAGTTGTGTAACTCAAACAGTAAATATAATTCTGATTTCAAAAAGTGTCAAACATCATGTCTGATTCTTTAACATATAAACAGACCATAGATAAACTGCTATAGTTTCTCAAAGCTATAAACACACCTCTTTCCATAAAACAGCTCAGAAGTGTTTAACAAGTATTTCAGTGCCTAAACTCCAAGCACTGTGCTAAGTATGTGGGCAACTGGGTGGCATAAAGAATGAAGTCAGGAAGGCCTAAGTTCAAATTCGACCTCAGATACTTACTAGCTGTGTGACCCTGGGCACTTAATCCTGTTTCTTCATCTGTAAATAGAGCTGGAGAAGGAAATGGCAAAACCACTCCAGTACCTTTGTCAAAAAACTAACAAACAAACCCATACAGGGTTAGGAAAAGTCAGACAAGACTGAAAATGACTAAATAAGTTCTAAGCACGAAGGACAAAGAAAGGCAAAAAAAGAGTTTCTGCTCTCCAGGAGCTCAAGGTCTAATGGAGCCATTGCTTAGCACACAAGAACACAATCAAGGATCTGTCTAGTACAAGCCCTAGCCTAGCCCTAATTCTCCCTTCCCTCCTCTCCTCATTAAATATTCCTTCATCTTCTAAAGAGAGAAGGGAAAGTCCAACTCCTAGAACAGGTTAGGAAAGAAAGATAGTTTAGAGGGAATGGCACAAAACTAAGTAAATCAATTAATCCCTCATCCTGGGCCACCTCTGACAGTTTTCTCTTTAGAGCAAACGTGAAACAGTGAAAAAGCCATGCCAAATGACGCTAACTTTCATAAACTTTCCGTCGTATTTCCACAAGAAACTAGTAACAACAGCTGACATTTATCAAGTACCAATCCCATCGACAGGTGGAAAAGACCCTGGAGGCCATCTCATTTTAGAGGTGACGAAATTTAGGCCTAAGGAGGTTAAGTGACTAGTACAAGGTCACCCAGGTAGCGGAATCTTCTTCATTTGAGCCTAACGACAACGCTGTCAGTATAACAATACTCATTTTACAGGAGAATACAAATGATTTAAGTATAAAGGTTCAGCGCCTTTTTCACAATACCACACTGCTTAATGAACTGCCTTACAATTCCGCTATGAGTATAAATGAGAGTTGCTTTTTTTTTTAAAGATGATGGAAATAAGTTACCCAGCTTTTCTGGCTAAGGGAAAGAACAGCCTGAAAGGGGGCGGGGCTTCTTGAGAGCAAAGCACCTTCCTACCTGCCTAACCCGGCAAAAAAGTTTATAGTTTTTAATTTTAAAAAAATGTAGTTAACATGTATTTATTATATCTCTTTATCGCTTTTCAACATGCCCGGAGTGGGATGGGACCAAGGCACCCCCTTCGCACAATGAAGCCCTAGGAAGGAGAACCAGGAAGAAGGCCTGCTCTGAGCTCACCTGCAACACCTTTCGCTCCCCCCCCAAAACACGCGCGCAGACACAGCCACCTCCCGCCCACCCGGCCGCCCCCGAGCGAGGGCGAGGCCGCCTCCCCCGCCCCCGGCCGCGGGGGCTCGGGGACGCCCGGGCCGGGGCGCCGAGGCCCTACGCACCGCTTCGCACGCCCAGCCGGCTACGGGGGCTCCCCGCGACGCCTCACCCTCCCCCCAGAACCGAAGAGGGGAGGACGAGCCTAGGACGCGGCTTCCGCCCGGGCGGCTTCCCTTTCACCTTGGGAGCGGAGACCGTGGCCGGGCGCGTCGGGCCCTCGGAAGCCCTGGACCGCCGACGGCACTCACCCTCCGCGTCCGGAGGCTCTCAGCGCTGCCCTGACTCGGCCCCCGTCAGAGACATAAAAGCTGGGGCTTCTCGGCCTGGGGACTGTCGGCTGGGCCCGGGACTGGCAGCCGCAGCCGCAGCAGCCGTAGTTACTGCGCCTGCGCCGCGAGGGCTTCGGCTCGCAGGACGCAGCTCCCGGGACCGGAGGGTTCCAGCTGGCAGCGAGGAGCCCGGCCGCGAGTCGGAAAGCCCCAGGCTGCGCCGGAGAGCCGTTTCATTCGCAACCGCCAGTCACGCGACGGGAGACATAGTTCGATTCGTTTATTTCCTTTTTTTCCCCCCTTTTTTCTCCCTGCCTCCCACTTTTCCTACTGCGGGGGCGGAAAAGGAGGGAGGCGGGGAAAGGAGGGAAAAGGCTAGAGAAAGGAAAGGGCTCTGTGGCCACGCCCCCTAGGCGGCCGCGTGGCCGCAGAGCGCCCCTCCCTCGCCCCACCTCTTTCCCGTCCCTTCCACCTGAGCTAGGGAAAAGTGTCGGGGGCCGACGCGCGGGGGGGGAGGGAGGTTCCTCCTACGTTCTCTTCCTCCGACTCTTACCCCTACTAACCCCCCTCCTCTTTTTGCGCTCCCTCATAGGCCGCCGACGCTTCCCCAAACACTCCTTCCCCGTACCCACACGTTCTCCCCCTCCCGACGCTCCCCCGCACGCTCTCTCCCCCCGACGTTCCCCCACACGCTTCTCCCCCACCCGCTCTCCTCCCGACGTTCCCCCACGCTCTTCCTTCTCCTGACGCTCCCCCTCACGCTCTCCCCTCCCTCTGACGCTCCCACACCCCAGCCGCTACCTGGCCCCGCTGATTTCGCCAGGTTCCGGGGTTAGGAGTGGGCTGTGAGTGCCTGCTGTGCGCGAGTCCCTGGATTCCCGGGACTGCCTTGACTGTCTGTCGCTCGGTTCCCGTCCTTTCAGTCTCTTTTGCAGCCTCTCTGCCCAGCAGGGCATGAGTGGGTGAAGGAGGGACCTATTCCCCTTTCGGGAAGCTAGGAAAACTTTTTTCAAGGCTTTGCCCGAGGTCACGGTGTGTGTCAAGGGCAGAGCTCGGGGCCCCGTGTCCCAAAGGGAAGGTTTCCGCCTAGGGCAGAAATGGAAATGCTGTACATGCCGAGGCGGTCATGCAAGATGTCTGAGTGAACCGAACCGGCCCGGCCCTGGACTGACTCAGCCACCTGCGCCCCTGCCCGAGGCTACTGGCTGTAGACCCTGGTCCAGGTGGTGCTGGGGAGCAGGGCGGCCTCGACATCCCCCCTCCAACCAAGCTGCGCCCCCACACACAGCTCGCAGGCAGTCAGTGCTTTTACTGTTTTCCAAGAGAAAATTTTTAACCACTAAGAAAATACAACAACTAGTGGGGAAGTTATGATTTGGGATAATTTGAAGCAGTATTTTGACATTCAGGGGATGGCTAAAGTTTAAAAGAACAAGTATCATTTTCCTCTTAGCACAGTGCCTGGCACACAGTAGGTGCATAATAAATTCGAATCAGGTTGAATTGATGAGGATTTCCATGTTAGGTCTGAATTTAAATGTCCTTGTAAAGTTTCAGAACTACATAGATGTATAGTCCACTGGATTTGTGTTTTTGTAGAATAGCGACATTGCAGTATACTTTCCTAAAGAAATAAAAGACACACGGGAAAGCTTTGATAGGTTCCTAGGGACTCATGATGAAACAGGCTACTCACTTCCTGAAAGGTCATGAGCTCGTAGTCCAGACAGAGACATAATTTTTTTGGACATGGCCAATTCAAGAATTTGGTTTTGCTTTTCTTGCTTTCTCAATTGGGGGCACAGGAATGGGAGATGGGAAAGTGGATCATCATTTAAAAAAATAATAAAATAGGTCTCTGGACCCAAGGCATCTACTTTCTCATTGTGTTCCAGACCACTTTGTAGTGTAGATATTTAACCCTATGCCATAAGGCTGATCTGGAAAGAAGGAGCAACTTTGGTTTTGTACTAGCTTACATCATTTTCTTAACCTCACAAGCAGACACTGAATTGTTAAAAGCCTACTGTGGAACAGAGGTGTCAAATACTTGGCTGATGTTTGGACCCACAACACTTCCCCAGTGCTATCAGAACCACTTTAAAATGTAGTTCCTGTCTAATTTTAATGTCTTGATGTATTATTTTAAAAAAAGAAATACGTGAACTTGTGGTTTTCTAAGACAATATGTGACCTGCAGGGATCCTTATGCAGTTTATTGGCTCCTGTTGCTCTTGGGTTTGACTCGTGGTTGTAAAGTATGAGTAATGCACAGCAATGAAATAAGACTTGAGGTTAGGAGAATTAGGCTTAATTGCCCTAATCTTAATAATACTCAATATTTTATAATGTTTTTAAATATGCTTTGGCCACATAATGAGAAAACAAGACTCATTGGAAAAAACCTTAATATTGGGAAAGATTGAAGGCAAAAGGAGAAGGGGATGGAAGAGGATGAGATGGATAGATGGAGTCATTGACACAACAAAAATGAACTTTGATAGTAAAGGATAGAAGGGCCTAGTTTGCTATGGTCCATGGCGGCCACAAAGAGTTGGACACAACTGAATGAATGAAGCACTCAGTCTTTTACATTTAGATGTGAAGCAGCTGTGGTAGCATAAGCAAACAGGATTTAGAGCTGCAAGGGTCATTAGAGGCCAACTAGCCCAAAGGCTTCTTTTTACAGAAGAGGAAACTAAGATCCAGAGATGTGAGATAACTTAGGAATGTTATTCCAGGATTTCTTGTTCTACTAGTCTAAAATTCACTTTATAGATTTTTTTTTTACTGTCAAGCTCTCTAAAAGTAATGGATTCTATAACTATTCCTACATAAAAACTGAGTTTCCTTTTTCCATCTCTGTACCACAGAAATGACAAATATTGATATCTATATTTCTGTGCCCCTTGATTGACCCACTGTCGTTTTAAAGTAAAGGATTTTTAGGATTGTTTAGATTTACATCAGTTTTCAATTGTGCTATGTGTTTATGGGTAACAAAACTTTCTACGTGATTCTATAGAATAAGCACATCTGCATATGGCCTTTCTTTTAAGCTCTTTGAAGCACTCCTAAATGAAAAGAAAACTCTCCTTAAGACAGTTTTCCCAGTTATGATTGGGGGCCCCACTCCCCCCATCCCCTAGAGATGGAGAGAGAAAGAAGCAGCGACCCATATTGTTGGATATTTTTAGTACAACTCCCACAAAAAAAACTACTTTTTTCTATTGAAAACAAACTTCAAATCAAAGTCACCAAAATCAAGACTCACACACAACAAACTCACTCCAATAGATAGTAAAATTAACACTGTGATTATTTAATAGATTATACAAAAAAAGGCCAGCTTGTATAATCTCAACAAGTTGGATCCACTATCAATTAGCCTCAGCACCTGAGGAAGTTTAAATTGAGTAAATTACCCTGCTTATTGCATTTGAATTTGAAATGTGTGAATTTAAATCTGAATAATCTTTGTGGAATTAAAAGGACCATAATATCTGTTATAATTCTTGATGCCATTCATTTTGCTAAGTAGTTCCCCCCTATAGCAACTTTTAAAACTTGAAATAACTCTAAATTGATCATAGATAATCATTAAAAATTTTCATATGCTTATAAACATGCTCAGATCTCTCCCATCCTTTTAAAAAAAACCTTAATTTGATCCAACATTCCCTTCAAGTTTCTGTTCTGTATCTCTTCTCTTTCACAGCCAAACTTCTAGAAAAATCTATCTATACCTGGTACCTCCCTTTTATCAACTCACATTAACTTCTCAGCCCTTTGCAATCTAGCTTCTAGTCTTATTCAACTGAAACTGCACTCTTCAAGATTGCCAATGATCAGTGGTCTTTTCTCAGTCCTTAAATTTTATTTAACCTCTCTGTAGCATTTGACATTGTTGATCAATCCCTCTTCCTAGACACCATTTCCTCCCTGGGTTTTCATATCATTACTCTTTTTGAGTTTTAGTCTCCTTTGCAAGATCATCATCCTTGTCTAACTCCATTAGAGGAACTATGTCCCAAGACTTCGTTCTGGCCCTTCTTATATCTCTATGCTTTCTAACCTTGTTCTTAGCACTTATGGATTCAAATTATTCACCTCTAGACATATGAATCCCAGATCTATACATGCAACCTCATTTTTTTTCCTGAACTCTAGATCCATATCTCTAATTGCCCACTGGACATAATTTCACAGATTCATAACTGGAAAGTCATTGAATCCAAAATATTATGCAGATAAAGACACCAAAGCCCAGAGAAGGTAATTGGCTTTGCCAGGATCGCACAACTAATAAGTGTCTGAGGTAAGATTCAAACCCAAATCTTCCTGACTCCAAATCTGGTGCTCTTTGAATATACTCTTGCTTCTGCGGTATCTCCAACTAGATATCTGGAAGACATCTCAAATTCAACGTGTCCAAAACTGAACTCATTCTCTTCCACCCCACCCCCACCAAAATGCTCTTCTGTGCCTAACTTCTCGCTATTGAGGATGCCACATCCTTTCATTAATCTAAGTTGGTACCCTCAGAGTCATGGTCAGCTCTTCCCCTTTTCTCACAAATCTTATTAATTATACTACCATAGTATCTCTTGGACACGTACCCGTCTCTCCACTTAAAAGGACCACCACCCCTATTAGGTCTTTATCACATTTTACCTGGGCTGTTGAAATAACCTGTAATTGGTCTTCCTGACTCCACTCTGTCTTCTTTGCAATCCATCCTCAACACAGCTACTATGTCTCTAAAGTATTGGTCTAACCATGTCACTCCCTTGCTTAAGTAACTTCATTAGCTACATACCCCCTCTAGATCAGAGGTTCTTAATCTTTTTTTGCATCAAAGACCCTTTGGCAGTCTGGTGAAACTTACAGATCCCTTTCCCAAATGATGTTTTCAAATGTAAAAAATAAAATGCGTAGGATTATAAAGGAAATCAAAGTTTAGTGAAAATAAAGATGTAATTCCTTTTCCTATAAATTCATGGTCCCCATGAAATCTATACACATATTCTTTAGGAGTCCATGGACCTCAGGTGAGAGACTCTGCTCTCAGTTAAAGTACAAACTCTTCTTGCCTTTTTAAAGCGCTTCATGATCTGACTCCAGTCTTACTTTGTAGTCTTATTGTGCATTACTTTTCTTTACACACTCCAAATGCCAGCAAACATGATCAGCTTGCTGTATCCCTTACACATCACATCACTTCTTATCTCTGAGACTTTGTGCAAACAGCATCCCCTCCCCCCCATGCTTGGAATTCATTTTCTCCTTATGTTTACCTCACAGAAGTTGGGTTTTCTTCAAAAATCAGCTCACATGCCACTTTTTACAGGAAAGCTGTGTTGATCACTTCTCTCTAAATGATAATTCCCCTACCCC